ATTTTGAGTAGTACAAATGGGTCTGGATAAAGTTGAAGGCAGGCGTAAAATTAGGGGTAGATGCCAATCTCAGCATTAATTAAAGGTAAAAAATCGTAGCTGAATGCCTTGACAGTGGTCAATAATGTGTCAGTAATGACACACATCGCAAGACTATTTTTAGAGAAAACAACGAATAAACCTACGTACGCCCACTACTAAATACTGAGAGAAAATAACATTCTAAATACCACTCATCAACTAAAATGGCCTCTCCAAAAAATGCTACCACCAGAAAAAATAAAATACAAAAAAACAGACCGTGATCCTGAAGAAAGTCGACAGAGTTACCTCTTCTCAGACCTGAAACCTAAGCTTAGGGAGTCGACTACCAACGCAGTAAAAAAAATACTCGAGACCAAATTACCTTTGTAAACCGCTTGAAACCAGCAGTCGCAGGTTTGGACTCAGATCTTGACGGTTCTCCTGGTAGAGCAGCATCAGTTACCAACGTACATACCTCCGCCCTCACCTTAATATTGTCAACATTGGCAAAACTGTCCTAAATACAAAACAGTTTCGAGATTCCATGAAAACGATGCTGGTATAGTCCGTGTAGTGCACCCTTGGACAGTTGGGCCATGGAAATGGGAAAATTATCTTGTGCATCAACTCATTTAGCGCAAAGCATATAACAGTCTCTGTGAAAACTGAATGAACACGAAAGGAAGCTACCTGAGAGCAAGATCATACATCTTACTGAGGCCTAGCTAATTACAAGTCCACATTCAAGATAGTGAGGAAATCTTTTAAACGAGATAATATGCACGTCAACCAAAGCGGCACTCTCATGAGAAATACAAAAATCCTTTGCCAAAATGGTCCCTCTTACTACTTATTGAACAGGGGAGACTATTCCGTCCAAGTCTGGAGTGAGTAATGATGATTTCAATGGTGAACTGTTTTTTTTTAATTCGATTGTAAAACGTTGCATTCGAAATCAGCTATGCCCAAAGTGAGATATTTATAGGGAATAAAGTTTAATGTGTAAGTTCCACATTTATCTCCATTAGGGTGTGACTCAGCAACCAAGACATATGAGGTAAAGTGGGCGTTCGTGGTGAGTGGCGCCATGTCGTTCCAACAATACGCATATACTGGCTAATGACGTGCTACGCACAATAAAGGGGCCCAAAAAGACATTACTACGTCACAACAATATTTCGCAACCGTTTGCAGTGGTCTAAAGTCAATGCAAGAAAAAGTTGTTGCATATGTTACTCGAAGAGGAAATCAAGGGGCTACTTTAACAAGCGGAATCATGGAAAAATATCACCTACGGCTCGACGCCGGAATTGGCGCACAATAAGGATGCGTAAACTGTTTAGTTTCCTCGAAATTAGTCTGAAAACGCCAAGGGAAATGTAGCTTACCAACGGAAGAGATGAAAGTCTTCTCAAACGCTACTTCAAAATGCTTTGTCATCACAATGTGCGGGAAGGCAGCGCAAACGACAAGTTAACACGACACGACAAAATCATATTTCTGTCTCGATCAAAAAGCATTTTACTAAATTGCCTATGCATGCCGATTGCATGAAACAAAGGCAATAGTATGAATAAAGGCAAATTTTAGAGCCCGATAACAAG